TCGTAATTGCAATTATCCTTTGAAAATAAAATAAGAGAGTGAGAGAGAGAGAGAGATGAAAACTCGTATCTGCAATTTCCGAGCTTCTCATAAAGTAAAATGATGTATCGTTGACAGCTACGTTGTCGTTAGAACGCATTGACGATCTCTGACTCACTATCGGTGGGCAGAAGGAGTATTAGACGCTCGACTACATAGTTTACAATAACTACGATATATCGGCCGACAACGAAGAAGCGAAGAGAAAGTTAGTCGACCTCGCGGCCCACGTAAAAGCTTCTCAACGAACTATGACGATCTAGGATTTCTTATTATCTATTTTGTTTCACGATCTAAATCGATTCGTTTAACTTTTAATCAAATATGAAAATCTATCCGAAAACGAATTTAAACGTCGTCTTTCGAAATCCTTGTCTAATAGTGTTTCTACGATTGAAATAAAAGTAATAATAATAAAAAGTATCGTGGAAATGTTATAACCGAACGAGTAGCATTCTTAGATGTTTAAAAAAGGCTTAGCGTAAAAAGAGAACGTCGAGCTGGTTGAGAACCTCTGCCGAGGCAAGGCTGCATCGCGCAAAAGGTGAATGCATCAGCGCTTCCTATATTTACGCAATCGATCCTTCGAACGTAGTTCGCGCGTAGAAATCGACACGCTCGCTCGAATCTCTCGTGTTTTATCTATGTGTTCGAACGTGCACACATGTATAGAATTCAGAGGGATAAAGAGAGAGAGAGAGAGAGAGAGACATATACAAGAATATGGATAGTTGGCGATATCGTGCGAACGTGAATGTGGAAATAATCGTTTCTCATGAATTCACGGTTCTACCCACTCTCATTCAGAGAACCGGGGACAATAATTGTGAATGGAGTCTGGCCAAGATCGAAGAGACGAAGGGTAAAGGGAGTAGTACGCGTACCTTTTTGCCAACTTTTCAAATTCCCGCCCTTTTTTTCTATTTCTATCTACGATTATTTCAACATAGTGAAGGTTTCTTTTATCTAAGATATTTCGTGTAATCACTGGGAATATTTTGTAATATTTTATCTCTCCTTCCCCTTGCTCCTTTCCCCCTCTCTATCTCTCTCTCTCTCTTCATCTTTATCTTATCGAATCTTAGCTAATTGTATAGTTTCGGATTAGCCCTTATCGCGTAACGGAGATCTAAATTCGTAGCTAGCTCGATTTCTCCGATATGATTTAAGATTCAAATGGTCGCGTAGCTACGTTACCTACCAGCAAGGAAATTGACCTATCGGAGGCCTAGATCTTCTTAGAGCCAACGCGAGCTTAAATTTACTACGCTAACGATCGAGGGACTGACCTTAAACCGAACTAAATTAGTTTGATTAGATGCATTAGAATTACGAGTAATAGAAATGGAAAGGATTCAAGTATCTAACATACGTGTGTGTATGTTTCAAATCAAAAATAATTTCCTTATTTGGGCCAAAGTGAAATTGATGGAAAGAAAAAGATAGAATCTGTTGTTGTATACGTCGACTAAACACACCTGGTAAATAAAAGAACAAGAACAAGAACAAGAAGAAGAAGAAGAAATAGAAAGTTGAGTCAAAGTAAAGTTTTTCCAAAGTTTGAATAACCGATCGAAGTAACATTCCAAAAGAACGTTTTGTGAATTAGAAAAGATCAAAAGTAAATGTTTTGAAAAATCAAAAGCAAAAGCAAGAACACTTGGAGTAGCGGTTAGTCTCTGGTCCAGGCGATTGGCTTTCTGGTGAAAGTCGGTACTCGACGGTACAGCCCTTGACCTTCCCTCGGCCGAATTCCAGTCAAACTCGTACTCTCGTACTCCGAGGCGAGTTTCGTAAGAAGCCAAGAAGGAAGAAGGAGGGGCGAGGCGTGTTGTTATGTCGATGTATGTATATTTCGTTTGTTGGTAAGCATCTACATTCGGTGAAAGGCGAATTTCCTTTTCTTCTCGACGAATGAAAGAAGATATACATAAGCAACCTCATTCGAGTAGAAGAACGAAGAGGAACATCGAAATGGATCGAGTTATGCGAAAACGAAAGGAAGGAGATTCTCTTTCTATGAACGTTGCTCTTTCTCTTTCCTTAAGAAGGGGGCTGAGGGAGGGAGGTTTAGGAAGGGATTTTGGTCCGAGAGCGTTGCTGCTTTCGCAAGACTTTCCCCATTGTTTAAAAAATAAAGCCGCAAGTCGCGAGTCTATCTCGAGGTCGTTGAACCGTGCTAAACGTGAACTCGCTTAAACGGGTCGTTCAACCGAGTGTTTGCGAATCGTTAGAGAATGATAGGCGGATATTATTAACGACGTCTGCTTTTCTGATGACTGTAACGTCGTGTACGATATTTTCGAGAGAGAGAGAGAGAGAGAGAGAGAGAGAGAGAGACCAAAATAAAGAAAGATTTTGTAGGTACTTATATACGTAAGTAGGTAGAGAGATACGACAGATATAACATATAAGAAGAATATGTTAGAACAATCGACTCCTTACCGATGAAATAAATCCTTTTAGATGTTTAAAACGTCTAAGTAATTTCAGACGTTTTAACTCGTGATGATCTTTACACGTGGTGAATATTCGCGAGAGTAACAGTAAGAACTCAAGAGAGAAAGGTCAGCTCAAAGGAGGAAGTAATATGCCCAGTTCCCTCGCAATAATAAGCTAAGAAACACTTTCTACGACCGTAGTAGACTGACTCTCTTTTGCCAACAGAGAGAAAGAAAAGAAAAGAAAAGAAAAGAAAAGAAAAGACTTATTCGCAAAAGTCCACCTCCACCATGAGTCTTCTAAATGGAACGTGACGTTATTAAGTGTAGTCTCACGATTATACGACGACTGTGTTTCGTACACGTTTTAAAATATAACAGACGGATCGTTGAATTTCATTTTCTATCATGGTTCGAACTACTCGTTCGTTAAAAATCTACCTTTTGTTTGCTCTCAATTGCTCCAAATGGAAAACGACACTAATCTCTGTTCTTTTCTTTTTTATTCTAAATTCCAAACTCTCGTTGATTTTTGTACAAATTCAAATGCTGCAAAAGATATAGAATGAGAGAAAGATCAAAGAAACGTATAATAATCCTTCTTTCTCTATCAAAGAACTTGAATCTTGACCCACAAAGACAAAGTCGTCGAGGACTCAAGATCAAAAGAGGAATTTTTATTTCTCGGTCATGTTCACCTAAGATTAACTATAGTCTTAATGTAATAGGAACCCTTCTTAGTCATCGGTATACATGCACGTAATTTTAATCTCCTAGGAAAAAGAGAGAGATAGAGAGAGGGGGAATATCTGCTTTCGATCAGAACGTTTTAACAAACGTTTTCATTCGTATACATGTTTGACATCGTTAACTTATCGAAGGATCGGTAATACTTTAAAAATCGGGGATTATACGTACGATTCCCCTCTTTGTTCGTTGTTCATTACAGTAGTCATTGCCGCTCCAATTCCTTCTCGCGTTAAACTGGTTTCAGCGGTGCTATTTATGCTGATAGACGCATTCCTATCTTGTTAAACGTTTCCTTGTAAAATACCATTCTCGTGCTACTTTGTTGAAGAAACAAAATAAAAAAAAAGGAAAAGTACATTTAGAAAAAAAAATATATAAGTAAGCTGATCATTAATAAAAGTAAATGTCATTGCTTTCGAGTTGAAAGAAAAAGAAAGTCACAATGCGTTCTAAGTTCGAATTGAAATTAAGAAAAAAAAAGTGATCCATGTTGAATGCTATCTTCCATTATGCGTGGCTTATGTGTTTCTTTCATTTCCTCTGAAAAAAAAAAAAAAAAAGAAAAAGAAGGACCAAGTGTTTGATACACAAAACGTTTCACTCTCGACGAGCAACCGCACGGATAACGGGGCTCTGTTCATGGCTGAGGTAGATAGGTAGGTAGGTAGGTAGGTAGGTAGGTAGGTACTTCGTCGAGAAAGAAGGGAAAGTAGTTCTGTGAGTCAGTGGGGCTTGCGGTATCCCACACGAACGTTCAACGGTTAAGCAGACTTGAGTCAGTCTCTCTCTCTATCTTTCTTTCTACACTTGCTTGATCCACTGGCAAAGAACAAATGATAATCCAGATGAGCTCTAAAGATTCTAAACGATCTGTTAAGTAAAAAATCTTAAAAAAAAAGTACAGTTAATTTAATTGAAAGCAGACAAATTTGATTCGTTGACCAAACTATTATTACTACGATGCACAAAGTTGTAAATAAGCTTTGTAGTATTAATACTCTCGGTATCGTGTTTACTTTCTCTCGTATAAAGAAGGAGGAGGAGGAGGAGGAGGAGGAGTTCTTTTAGTAGCTATAACACGCCAGTAGGTTGACACACTTATCGATGAAAAAGAAGAGGAACGTTGGAGAGGCTAGGCCTTCCTAGAACGATACGATGTAAGTGTGACTTAACGAAAGTATCCCGTCTACCACCGGAAATAGATTGTTCGCCATTCGAACGGGTTGACGCTTAATCCTACGGCAAACAACAATCGGCTCGCGACCCGAATATGTGTCGTTGAATCGTCGACCGAACGAACGAACGAACGAACACTCCTGCCACGAGCTATTTTCTTTTCCAAGAATACAAAATAAATCATCTCGTCAAATCGGGGTTATTTGATTATTCGAACGTTTTCGATGATCTAACACATTTGCACATGCAATAGCACAAATAGAAAATAATCTCGTAAATTGATCGTTTGAATATCTTATGGTACTTGGAAACTGCAGTTTTTCATAATGACGCGTATAAAAATGACTCACCACGAGCTACTTCATTGTCGTAAGCAATGTCAAACCTGCAAACAGGAAGCTCCTACATTCGCGTATTTAACACAAGTTCATAAGACGTTTCACGGTCTCTTTTTCCTCTTTTTTTCCTTTTTTTTTCTTTTTTTTTTTTTTTTCTTAAACGAAAATTTATGACTACAACGTGACTGATTCATTATTATCTATTCTAAATGGCAATTATAACTAAGTATCATTTATTGTGAAATAGAGAAACGAAAGATTCATCCGTCCAATCCCAGTTTATTATCTTATCAAATAGAAAAGCAGCGAGCTTGCGGGTCAGTCATCTCTTTTGAGGTCAGGGCGACGACTCGCGGAGAGGATCTGTGTGACGTAGTAGATTCTAAAGAGTCCTCCTCTCCTCCGGGGGTCGCAGCATTCGGCCTTCGCGTCCTGCGCACATCAGCACGCGCAATTTTCTAAGCTTACCAACTACRATTTTAAATCATAAATAAATAATATCTTCTATCTTAAGTAGTATCCAATAATCACACCGTGATATTTCTCTTTTCCATTTTACGTAACGAAACAAATCGAAAGATCAAGATCAAGAGAAGGCAAAGGAGTTATAAAGGCTTTACATACGAATAGTATTGCTGATCTTTGGTCACGGACTCCATCGATATACCTAACGTTCCTCGGAAGGTGAAAGTTTTTCGGTTATCGAACATCGTGGCCTAGACCGTAAAAGAGGAACAAGAACGCGTATAGGTTGACTGAGAGAAGAACTCTCTCAAGTCTCCTCCTGAGTCCAACTCCTCCTGGCTTTCTCTTTTTTAACTCTCTCAGCAAGCATTAAATGTAATCAATATTTTCTATCAACAACGAATTTCATTTTGGACCTGATAAGATGTATTTCCAAGATTTCAACCTAGGTGTTGGTTGTCCAAAGAGAGAAAAATAACAAAACAAAAAAAAAAGAAAAATAAAAAGATAGAAGGAAAGTTGAAGATGCAACGTTCAACTGGCGATCTGGCTAGGTTGACTAGGTTGTAAGCTAGGTTTGCAAGCTAGTTCCGACGACGACGACGACGACGACGACGACGACGACGATGATGTTGCAGCAGAGTTGGAGGTTCCCCTACTGGAGAACGTAGAGTATACAGCAACGCCGCCGTTTAACTCGGAGGGTTCTCTCTTCCACTTCCACAGTTCCTCCACCGCACGGCGCACGGGTTCCTCGTCGGTGAGCGCTGGTGCCCGTGGCCGCTGTCCCAGTCGTCGCCCTACTTTGTCGAAGCCAACTCAGCTCGACACTCGGTTTACACCTCGCGGGACGACGAGGCAACGCGCGCGCAACCTCAACACTACAAATAAAGACAGACAGACAGACAGACAGACAGACAGATAGATAGATAGATAAATAGATAGATAGATAGATAAATGCTCTTACTAAACACATTCGTTCAAAGAACAAAAACAACTCTCTATTAACATGTAAACACATTTATAAAGATTATCAAAAAAAAAAAAAGCGCGCGCGCGCTTTTACGCCTACGCATAAATTTACGCATTATATTCACACACATATTAAAATTACAAAATTCATTTTCTCTCCCCCTTCTTGCAAACGCCAATAAATGTTGTTGTTGTTGTTGTTATTAAATTAATAATATTATTTTGTGTGTGTCTATAACATTTTACCATCAAAGTTGTGATCTTTGATAATAACAGTTATTATCGGTGTAACAGTGGTGATTGTGTATGTGATGACATGATGACAACTTTGACGACGACGACGACGACGACGACGATGACAATGATGACGATGATGACGATGATGACGATGATGACGTTTGCAATCGTACTTTGATAAAAAGGACTCGCGCGAAAATTGAATCTTCCATGCGATCTCGAGGTTGACCACGTGTCTCGACCGGAACTACCGGTCCTCCTGACGACGAACCCCGACCTACGACAATCCCCAAATTTCTCGATCGTTGCTTACATCCAAAATTATATACTTTTCAAATTTTACAAAAAAAAACTACAATTCTTATAATACGGAAGTTGGTAACGGATGTGCCGGGAACTCCGATCGAGGAAGGAAATGTTCTCGGAGTATTTCAAACTCGCTAGCCCGAGGAGAGAAAGTGTATGGACTTTCGAAATAACATCGAACGAGAATATTCAACGAGTGTTGTCCTCTTCCTCTATTTGCCTATTTCCATTTCCTTGTTCTATTCAAATGACCGATCATTATCGTTACCTTTAGATTATGTGCCTATCCAACCCCCCTTTTTGCATCATCTCTCGTTCCTCCTCGTCATCTTGATCGCTGAAAGAAAGAAAAAAACAACAACATAATAATAATAAGAAGAAGAAGAAGAAGAAGAAAAAGAAGAAATTGTGAAGATAAGAAAATCGTTCGTGGTGAATTTACGATTCTACCAACGTCACTGCCAATCTTTCAATTCATACAAATACTTACGTGTATCTTTCTATCTGTCTATCTGTCTGTTTCTCTCTCTCTCTCTCATTTATATATATATATGTTAATCACATACACAAATTCACGTATAAATGTTCGATCTTTAATCGTCCACTCTGTGATTTTGTTGTCATTACATGTTCATCTTCAAAAAACATATCAGGACGTCTTGGACGTTTCATTGACCGATCTAAGAAGAAAAATAATTCATAATAATTATTATTAAAAAAAAAACAAAAGGAGAACTCCGAGCACTGCCAACGAAAGACTCCATGAAATATCGAAATGTATTCAACTATAACTGCCAATCATTAAAAGAAAAAAATCTAGAAAAAGTATTGTGTGTGTGAAGGTACAGTGATCGTAAAGGATCGAAATATTACGACGAGATAGGTCACACTCACGTTCGATTCGACGACAACGTGAGATGCTTTTTATGATCATACGTCCAACGAGACCAAGTTGATCGTGGGAAATGGTGAAAAAAAGTTAGCAAAGTTTCGTTACGTAAGGTTTCCGCGTGAGCCTGCCATTTTGGTTCACGTAGAAAGAGAGAGAGAGTGAGATAAGTGCACCGGCAACGACAATTCGCGTGTGTGTACATTGACGAATGATTGAAATCATACTAAACGAAAAGACTAATTGATACACAGTGTATATATCAAAACAAAACAATAATAATAAACTGTAATAGTTCATTAAATTGTTCGAATAAGAATAAGAAGAAGAAGATAATAAACAACAACTAAAGTGTAGGTGTATCAAATGTAAGGAAATACAAAATTGAATGATTAAACAGAGTTGGATAGAAAATTATACGTTTGAACAAAAAGTTATTTGGTTAAGCTTATAAACAAAACAAAAAATAACAAGTATAATAAAATGAGGCGCGAATTCGGCCATGTGCGTTTACCTGTGTGCGCATGATATAGCAACGAACAGTGACGTATAACACCTAACAAATACATCCCTCCCCTTTGTGACATTCGATTCGTCATTGGTGTTGTCGTCGATCTTTTTCGTCGATCTTTTTCGTCGTCGTCGTCGTCGTCGTCGTTGTCGTCGTCGTCAAAGTCGACGCATTTATTTGTTAAAAAACACAACAAATGTTCCGACGTTTAAAGACGTCGGTCATAATTCCAAGAGAACAAGATTAATCCACGATAATTCATAATTTGGATGTTCTAAGCGAAAAAAGATGTAAGTTTATCACGATGTTTATTAATTATTTTCATTATTTATTTATATTCGTTTTATTATATAAGTGCGAGACTTGTTTGATTTATAAATTAGTAATTTATTATCATAATCAATGGTTTGTTTTTTTTTTTCGTTCCCTCGCAAAAGTGATTGATCGATCCTTTAATAGATCGAATAAGAAGATGACTAAAAACATACTACAACGAATTTAAATATTTAAGTTGTTGAGTAATTTTAAAAATAGATTACTCTTTTTTCTTGTTTTTTTTTTTTTTTTTTTTTAGTAGAGAAAGAGAGACTTTTGAAAGAACATTTTTTTCTTTTTTACCTTCAACATCGTAAAAATGCACGCTCAGGAACTTTGTTACGATACTATAAAAAGAAAAAAAAAACTTGAATTAAAAATCGTGGCAGAGAGAGAGAGAGAGAGAGAGAGAGGTGTAAGAGATTTTTATAAAATCTTCCGCAAACTTTTGACTCGACTCGAAATGAAACAAAAATTGACTCAATGACTCAATGAATACTCTACGAATGCAATTTAAATAATTTAAATAATATATCTTAAGAGTATTATATAGATGAAATAATAATAAATTAGAATATTTAACAAACAAAAAAATAAAAAGAAGATGTTTTGCTACTTCGCTAAAGGAAAGTAACCCGTGGATCGTTAAAATAAAGTTCGATCTACATAATCCTTTTTTTCTTCTTCTTCTTTTTTTTCTTTTTTTTTTACTTTTAAAGAAAGAAAAAAAAATAACAAAAATGAAGTAACCAATTATCGATGTAAAAACGAAGAAGCAACAAGAACCGTGAAGGAGGAAGAATCGTTAATGGGATGCAAATACGAAAAGTCGAAAACGCTCGTGTCATTAGCGTGCGTGCGTGCGTGCGTGCGTACGTGCGTGCGTGAGTACGTCGAAAGGTCTAGGTCGACTCGTCGATATCGTTGTAGATGTAGATGTTTATGCTAGATTTCCGGCTCGTCAAAAATTCGTGAGAATTTTTTCGACAAACTTTGAAGAAAGAAAAAAAGAGATATTTTCAAAGGACGCAGGCGGCCTCCATCGCGAGAATTCGAATAGCAAACGCGTTCGCCTTCAGGTGTCCGTGTTTCTCCTACCTCTCTAAGTTTTAAAACTTACTTCTTTAGAAAACTCTGCTACGTGAAGATTCTTCTTCTTCTTCTTCTTCTTCTTCTTCTTGTCATTTTTGTTCTCTCTCTTTTTAAGCGGAAGGAAGATCATTCGATGATGTTGATTTTGTTTCTTTTTCTTATTCAACCTTGAAAAACGAATCGTTAAATGAGGAAACGTGTATATTAAAAGAAACCAAGCGTAAACGCAATTGCAAAGTTTGTTCAATGAATACAATTTAGATGCAAGAAGATAAGCAATGCTCTTGAAGAAGAAGAAGAAGAAGAAAAAAATATATATATATATTCAAATTAACACGGTGCCAATTTTGGTCAATATGAAAAAAAGAAAAGTAAAGACTAAAGAAAAAAAAAAACCACCAGGTAAAATAGTAGTAGTAGGGTTGTTGTAGCTCGCGCGTAGTAGAATATTATGCAAGCCCGACAGCTGGGAAGTTATTCTGGCGGATGAGCGAGAAGAGCAGGGGCACGAACAGTGATGTGTCCTACCTAGCGTAACCTCAAGTTCTCGATGACGAAGCTTGAGATAGGTCGGGTGCAAACGTGCTCTCATACGAGAGAGGATACATTACGTTCATGCACTACTCAGCTGCTCAACACTCTCTATACGCATACTAACGTATTACAGTAGTATATGCACTGGCTGTGCAGCCAGTAGGCCAATTATTAAACCCGAGGATCTCGGCCAATCACCAACCACGTCCTCGACATGAATCGTCATCGTCTTTCAACTACTTGGCGCCATCGAAATTTTCACTCGAAATCCTTCTTCAACTAAGTTTTTACACAATTTCGAAATAAATCAAAATCAATCTCTAGACAAAATAATTTCAACAAATATTTCAGGAAAACAAATTCAATCGATCGTCTGAAGAAAATCTTTCAATAGTATGAAGTAACTTACAATACGTTAATCGTCGTTTTGAATTTGAAAATGTATAATAGAGGCCACATGCGTAGAATACGGATAACAACTAGCAAAGCTTCTCGCGACCTATGCCAATCTCAAACTAAATATACTCGCTCGGTAATGATGGCATTAGACGCGCATGGCCAGTACTTACTTGCACGACGAAAGCCACTCTCTTCTACCCAGTGGCTTTGGTATTTCAAACGTTTCTTCTCAACTTTGATTCGAAACGTTGCCAATGACGACAACGACGACGATCTCTTCCACGCCGAGATCTTCCAAACAATTATCGACAATATCGTTTTGAAATTGATTGTGTTTGACAGTGATTATTATTCATATCAATAATAAACGTTTTATTAATTTAAATGAAAATTTACTCATAACTGAAGATTTCTTTAATCGGCGCGTATCGGAGTTTCTTTGAAACTCGAACTAGGACCGTGAACGAACACACACGATCGTCAGGATGAATTACGACGACGCAAATACTATCGCAACACGCTCATGCGAATCCTTGCGTAGCAATGATGTCATTTGACCCTGACACGTGCAGCAGTCGTCGTCGTCGTCGTCGTCGTCGTCGTCGTCGTCGTCGTCGTCGAGTACCGGTATCTTCTCATCCAAATGCGAGTATACTCGCCGATAGCCCCCCGAAGGAAACGCGATTGAAAAGGTGCATGACATCTTTATACATTCTTCTAAAAATAATATCATTGCGTGGACATTCTTTGAATCGATGATACGAAGCATACAAATAAAAATACCTTCTTATATATATATACGGTGTTATATTGAACGCGCGTGTTACTTTCTTAACAAAATATTAAATCTTATTAAATCTTGAATGATTTTATTTGAAAAGAAGAAAAAATTCTAATCGAATTTGATTGGAAGAAATCGCACGTTGTTATTTTAAATCTATGAGTGTAATTTATTAGTCTAAGTTTTCTCGTATAATAGAAAAAAAACAACAACTCTCACAGCGTATAATATATAGCGGATGATGGTGATGATCATGATAATAATGATGATGATGATGATGATGATTGTATGATGTCGACACTCCTTTGAGGTCGATTCTCATGGACGTAACGTGGCCTTAAAGCTGTTCAAAGGCTGTTGCAGCTCGACCAAGTGATTATTCTGGCATCTATCGTGACATTAGTTTATGACGATTCTGTACACTCCATCTCGTTATCTTCGTCAATCGATTTATCGTTTGGATAAATCGATGAATCGATCCCTTAGTACAATGAAATTCCACCAAGATCACGGACTTCGAGATCGACGATCAACAGATTATTGGATTCTTCGATAAACTGGTTTTCATTTCGGAATACTTTAGATTACTATTTCATTTTGAGATTGGAATGATGATTGCATTATATCGATTTAACCCTTAAAGTGCACANGGGGGGGGGGGCGAGGGGTGTTTGAAACCCCAACAAATTTTGGATCTCTCGAAAACGACGGTACTGAATTCGAAAAAATAGGTTATTTGTCTAAAGTGCCATCTAGTTTTAATTCAGATGGGTATAAAACCTATTATTCTATTTTAAAAAAGATGTATCAAACTACTTTTAAATAGTAAATAGCGGCTTCAGGAGAGGCGCTCAAACACGTTGGGGTGTCAAACACCCACAGTGGTGCACTTTAAGGGTTAAATTATTTTTTTTTCTTCACAAATACGTCTCTAATTTTATTAAACTTTCTAATATGATTGATCATATTAGAATAAGACAAAAAAAAAATAAAAATAAATTCATAGAGTATGATTTTGCAATGCAATGATCTACGCAATACTTTAGAGTAGATGGTCGAACAAAAATAAAAACATGGCATTGAAATAAATATTACAATGCGGAAAAACTTGTAATTGATTTAACCTTCTTTAAAGAAGAAACCAAGTTAAAAAAAAAAAAAAACAATATCAATGCTTATATATTTATCTAATTGATCAACGAGCTAATACCAAAATTCAACACAACAGCTACCAGCTGCTAGGAGAATCGTGACTAAAAATAAGAAAACGTGACTTTCAATGATTGTTTTTCATTCATAAACACGACCATGTTTTCGAAATATTCAACATTGTGTGTATGAAAATCACACGACGAAGAAGTGTAATCATTTTAAAAATAACAAAATTAGAAGGAATAATCATTTGAAAATAATTTTCTAATGCAAAATAATAGAAGAAGAAGAAGAAGAAAAAAAAAAGATAGTATCGAATAAACGTTAGGAAAATAAATGATAAAATAAAGCAAAAGGTTTATGTAAAAGAGACCACATTTACGTACAAAGTTACAGCAAGTTGTAGATTATCAGGCAACTGATATCTAAATGAATGCGATTAGTATTCACAGTTTTGTAGATAATATGTTTATGTTAGATATTCGTTCGTCAACTAAAATACATAACTGCGCAACTAGAATGACTAGAAATATTGTTTTTTTTTGGTTTTTTTTTTTTTTTGGTACAAAATTGATGATTCTACAAAAATTCGCAAAAAAAAAAGAAAAAGAAAAAATCTAAAAGAAAACATTACGTCAACGATTTAACTCTTTGGGACACAGGTGAGATTAAAAGTGTCCCACCTTTTTGATACACCATAATGCACGGTGGGACATTTTTAGTCCCACCCTCGAAATATTATTACAATAACAATAGCAAATGCTTATTTATTCAAAACAATTGCTTAACTCTTCGTTATTAATTCTTTTTTTTTAATGTTTTTACATTACGTAATACCTCTTTATTAATAAAAAAAAATATCTTATACCAATTTTGTTTCATTTAAAACGTAATCAAATTACAATGCAACATTTTATTATCAGAAATTTTGTACCACAACGAATTAAAACGTCAAAAATCTTAGTTTAGATTTTAATTTTGATTAATCGATCGATCGATCGATCGGTGATACACATTTTTGAGTATGAAAATAAAAAAAAAGGGGGATAAATAAATTTGGGATTTCGATCGAGACAGTTGTTAGTCGATATCGATTATTAAGGAAATTACGAGAGGTTAAAGTTCAAAAGGGTCACGAGAGTGGAGGGAAAGAAAAGGAAGAGGAGTAAGAGGATGAGGATGATGACGACGACGACGACAACGAGAAACAAGAGTTGTGTGCGTGTTGGTAAGCGAACGATCATGCTTGCTCGAATACACGCGCACGTATACACACACACACACACACACACACACACATATACGCACTAACGCATGATAGTGCATGCCTGACGGTGTGATTGACATTACTAAGTATGCCATGGCCAACCGCTCATAACGTGCTGGTACGAACGACTGCAGTACTGCCCACACTGCCGCGTACGAATGCAAGACTGCATTTCGAATGCATTTCGTATGCTAGCCTATGCACCGGCCAACGCCGTTGTCTAGGATTTTAAAATAAGTCATCCAAATTTTACTACAAAATAATAAACACCATTATACAAATTTTTATCGTTTCAAATTAATATATCCTATAACTACTTTTACCATGATTATAATTATTATAAATAAAGTATTATTCATACATTGATAAATAATATTCAAAGAAATTTCATTAAGATGATCATTAAATTTGTTTATATTTATTTATAATAATTCATGCATTCTTTTTATTTTGTTTTCGTTTACTGGGCGGGCGGACGAGGGCGGGGGGGGGAGGGGTGAGAGGACAAAAGAACAGAGTTACAAGTTCAATGTCTTTTTTGTTCGAAGATAGAAATATCTTTAAGGGCCGAGGACAGTGGAAAAAGAAATGCAGCAGAGTCATTTATTTTCGTTCAAATACCAGTCATTGGAAAGATATTTAGAAATGTGATCCTTTGGAACTTACCACCTACGTCATATGGTGTGTTAAAACAATGCAACAGGTAGCCTACTTCTAGACTGGTGGACGATCCCTTACTACTTATTTGTAGCATACTCTTGAACGGGACGACAACAACAACAACAAAAATACACACAAACAAATAAAAATCTAATTATCCAATATGCAGAAAATTATATTTGTGAAGAAAAAAAAAAAAGAAAAAAAAACGTACACAAAAAAGTGCAATTTATCATAATTATTAAAAATTGCATTAGCAATAGGGGGGTAAAAAAAAAACAAATTATGCAATGGAAGAACAAACGTAAAAGAAAAGAAATCGTCAAGTTGTTTTCTGTAAAAAAAAAAAAAAAAAAAAACAACAACGGGGAGATAGGTCAAATGCAAATAAAAATGATACAACGGAGGAATGACGTAACGTAAAAAACACTGTTTCGACTGAAGGACATGGTTTTCACCCAGGTTCGATCTTCCTGTAAGATGCTATCGTTTCACCACAAAAACCGGTATCTTCGAAAGAAAGAAAGAGAGACACGGTGAAAGATAAAAAAAAAAAAAACGAACAAGAAGAAAGAAGAAGAATAGAAAAAAGCAACAAAAAAGAAAAAATCAAACAGAGAAGAGAAGAGAAGAGGATGACGCCTCTCACAAGGTCCTCCTCCTTTTCCTCCTGTTGCTGCTCCTGTTCTTCTTCTCGTACTTTTGCTTTCGTCGAATAAATACGCGCACGAAATACGCGGCTTGCGTTTTAAAACGAACCACAACTTCTTCTTTCCTCCTCCTCCTCCTCCTCCTCCTTCTCCCTCTCTCTCTCTCTCTCTCTCACTCTTTCCGTTGTCCCCCTCACTTTTGGATTGGCTCATCCAGCCGGCACGACACTGTCCGAAACTTTCATCGACGACTTTCGTTACTTTCTTATCGGTTAAAAAGTGAAACACCAGTCGATCCAGGTACCCCCCTCCCCTATCCCTCTGCTACTCCCTCCTGCCACCCTGTCCCCCCTATCCCTCTTTCACTCCGATCCAGGATATGCGGATCCAGTCGATCTTCTTCGAATGATTATCGCGTAAGAGACAGAGACCACCGGCTTCGATCTCGTTCGATATATCGAGAGTGAAATTGCAATGAAATACGAAAGATTATTTCCTTTTCTTTTATTCTTTTTTTTTCTTTTCATTTTTTTGTCGATCTCTTCTTCTTACAAATATATTTATGGTGTGTGYATGTGTGTGTGTGTGAACGTATCGATGAGAAAAACATCACGAAAGTGGTGCAGTCCGTATATGGAAAAGAGAAGATA